TCAAGCAAGTGCAGCAGCTTATTCAGGGGGATGAATTCACACCTGACAAACAAAACAAAACAAAAAAACCAAGACAGCCTGCAAGTCTAAACTCCAACAACGGTGAGAAACATGTGCATGCCTCCAGTCCATCCCAGACCACCATATACTCTGTGGACACAGCAATAGCCATGAATAAGGAAAAGGAGGAAATCCATCTTCCATCTGATCTAAAAACTTATCACTGACCCTTTTGGCTGTGACAAGGCAAGAAGCAGTTAACTGAAATGATGTAGTTGAGTCCTACCAGCCTGAAAGACCCCAGGACTGGTGGGCAATATGGAATATACATCAGGCCATGTGGCAGTCCTTTTGGAGTTCTGTCATACATTTTCCGGCAAATCTTGGTGCTGCTAGAGTTTCTCACCAGTTTTAGTTCCCTAAACAGCTCCAGAAGCAGAGAGAGAGATTTAGGTGACAGTTTTAGCATTGCTGACACCAGGTATGGGGATCACCAAGTTAGTTCTACTAGTCCTAGAGAATGCAATGACAGGAGTGGTGGAGTTGATGTACCCAGAATCCACATTGCTGTGACAGGCAGAGAACTGCTGCAGTGGATAAAGAAGGAAATAAATGCTTACAGCACTTCAGTGGCTGGACTGTTTCTGGGGATGACCAAATCAGAAGCCTCTGTGGCAATTAATCACAAGGATCTGAGAGTACTTAACTTTACCATTCTGGAAGGGAGAGTCAGAGAGACTTCCTTGGGATGGCTTTCTTAGGAGGATGGCCAGCAGAAGATCAAAGATAAAGCAGGCGGAGTCATCTGACTGCTTTCCACCTCACAATACCCACTGGGTCCCACACCAGTGAAAACTTTCATGGCGTTCTCAAGCAGAAATTTTCTGTAGTTCAAGCTCACCATCCCTTCCAAGTTTTAAAGGACACCATGTGGAGCAAGACCTTCTCTATCACACTAATGAAACCCTGTACATGTGTCAGAAGACGAAATTCAGCCTCAAAGTAGGGGCACACCGAGGTGTAAAACAGCCTTGGGAGATAGCACCAAAGATAAGCAAAGCACAGCTTCTACTGAAAACTCAGAGCAGCAATTGGGCAGCAGAGAGAAAATGAAATGAATGACCTGAGAACTAGCGACCTTGCACACACTGACCAAGAAGCTGAACACAGTCCCTAAAGTAACATGTTTCTGGTTTCAAGTGGCCATTTGAATCGAGGCCATTTGAATATCCATAATCTGAATGTATTTGCGGACTACCACTCAAAAAAAATAAAAAACCCAGGACTTTCAGTTGCAGCTTCATATTAAATAACAAAAATCTGCAAACTTGAAAACTATGCCTGCTCATTTACTGTGTCCTTCGCAATTAATTGAGTCCTATTCCAATTTGCACTTAATTTGATTACTATAGCTAACAGCAAGATGAGGTGTTACACAACTTTTTGTAGTCTATTAAATTTAACTTAAATCCCACACATGTATAAAGTTATGACTGATCAGTGCACAATGCTACTCAGCAGAAACTCAGCATGATTAAACGTGTGAAAAATTTCTCCTTGCAAATATGTTGTGCCACTGACAACTCTGAGAGAGTAGTAGTTAACTTATGATAAAGTCCACAAAATTACATTTCTTAATCATTTCAGATAGGGAATAAACAAATCCAAAGTGATCTAGATGAACTGAAAACCACAATAAATTAACAAAAAGGAAAAATATACAATCATACTTCATATGAATCTGTACACACTGGACTGTGATTTAAAATAATTTATGTGGATAAGTGCACATTTTTATTTACTTGTTTAGCATAAAACATAGATTTTCTTTTTTCAGTGGCCTTCAGACTCTAAAGCTTCAAATAAAAAATTTGTTTACTTCATGTTACTAAGAAATTGATCTATAAAGACATTTAAGAAACTAAAAAAAAAACAAAATAGCAGAGGACATTTTTAATTTGAAAAGAGTAACCTTATTATCTCGGTTATTTCTATATCAGTTTTCACCATAAACATTTATTTTTCTATTGCCAGCCATAAGAATTTAGGTTAGAAGCCAAAAATTAAGCCAAATCTCTGATTCTGAGATGCTGAGTACTACCACCACATAAATTGTTGTAACCTCATCCCTTTCAGAGTATATAATTAAATTTACACTAGAGAATTTATCTTCCTTTATGCAAAGATATTACTGGGCCACACATCAGAACAAATGCCTGAAAGCAGAGGTTAGCTCATCTTTAGCTTGAACATGTCCATCAAAAAAATTATCCAGAGCAATATTACTTTTGCAAGGCCAACAGCAACAACAGACAGCTATAATTTACATGCCAAGTTTTTTACATTTGGATGACAATACCACTTATCCATGATCCACTAAACAGAAATATGTAAGAACTATTTAGCAGAATGTCTAGTTTGTAAAAAGTCTCTGTAAACACTCGAAGAACTGCTACTACTACCTAGCCACTCATGTTTTTTCTCTTCCACCTTTTACAAATACGTGGAGTAACATCACAGTCCTGGTGCCCAGACGAGACAGTCTGTATTAAACCTTCTCTTGAAAAATGAAAGCAGGTATAAGCTTGGTGAAAAGAAAGCTGAGTTAGGTATGTACAAGATTTATAAAATCATGAAGGCAGTAGATAAAGTGAGTGTAGAACTGCTATTTAACAAATTGCACAGCGCTTGAACCAGTGGACATCTGCTGAAAACTGAAGAAAAATCTGAAACTGAGGAGAAAAGATAAAATCGTGCACTTTTAATGTGATTGCTAATGAACTACTGCAGTTTGCTGCCAGAAAATGCTGGATGCAAACAGCATTTAATCAAATGTATTCTGGGATAACAGCTCCATAAATGTCTATATACTAAAAGGATGAGGCAGACATCCCTAAATCCTGCATCTCTGGACATTATAAGGGGAACAGACTAAAGAAGTGGCCAGGTTTATGCGCTGTCCTTAACCAGTATGTCCCATTGCCATTTGGAGGCCAAATGCTGGGTTGGGGAGACCCTGTTGAGACCCTCTTGGGTATTTCTTCTGCTCTCCAATCTTCAAAAAGTTTTGAAGTTCATTGTTGCAAAAGATAATAAACCTTCAAGGATAAAGCACCAAGGACAAAGCACACTGTTCACAGATGTGCCAAAGGCCAGATGGGCAGCTCGCTACCACGAAAGGTGACTACCTACCCAGAACAAGCCAAAGCACTGACACAAGGTACTGCTAGAGGAAAACATGCCGAATCTGGCAGCCCAAGAGAAGTGGGGCTGCTGCTGCTCTATGCCCCCAGGTCCAATCAGTAGCAAGGCTGAAAATGGCTTCCCAACAGGGACACATACATAGAGTAAACATATACATATGGCTATATACATATGTACACTATGTACATATATATGGCTGGACATACAGATCACAGACAGATACTCTGAGCACTCCTACCTCATGCTGCTCTCTGATCTGGCTAAGCAGGACTAAGGTCCATTAATGGGAATATATCTTGTGTCCAAGGTGGATCTCACCAGCAGCTAGGCTCAGAAACACAGTCTGCCCAGTAGTCAGCCCTGGATCCCAGTCTCCCCAGTTGCTGTATCTGGACATATCAGCCCTCAAGGATGCAGCCCCATTTGCTTGTACAGACCACTGCACACACAGTCAGACCTGTTCAGGACTCCCTGATCCCTACAGACCCTCTCTTGTGATCTTGGTCCTATAGACCAGCATCCACTCTCAACCCAGAGATGGCCCTCAGAGACCTCCAAACCCACTCCGTCCCCCAGTCCACTTTACCTACTCACTGACTCACTCTAATTATCTTTGCCAGTAATCACACTCATACCCCAGTTGTTGCACCACAGACAACACCCTCTACACCCATACACCCAGGGAGTAAAAGAGCCCCTTACTGGAGAAAGTTGAAAGTGGAGTTATTGAGCAGACAGAACAGACTGTGCAGGTCAGGAGCAGATTGTGGCCAGACAAGTGTTCTGGCCAGCCCCTGCTGGCATGCAAACCAACCTTTTATTCAGTTATCTACTCCCCACATTTGTTCCTTCCCATATCACCCAAATCCCTCACTCTTTCCACCTTTGGTTCATCTCCTAGACATTCCATAGTATGTTCCGTGCAATTCCCTAAAGCTTTTCCCCTGCATCCCCCGATGTGTCCCACACCCCCAGCTAGTAACGCTCTTAGCCCAAAAAGTGAACTGGGGTGCTGCTCCCTTATTGCACATGGTGATAGGTTTCACTCCTGGATGCTGGGCTGAGGCTCTGCAGGGACAGGCCTGGAAGCAGACTAACAGGATGTCCCTTTCTCTGAGTCCTTAATCTGGGTTTCTGCCTGCCCCTGTGCTACTCTGGGTTGTGGAGATGGACCTCTCATGGCTCGCCTACGATGGGCCCAGTACTAGCTTGGCAAAGTTCTGTTTGGGCTCCCCACTCTGTATCTGGGTATCTCCGTGGGTGTGCAGATGAGCTTTATCACACAACCAAACAGGTACCACCGCAGTCAGCCAGCCTTGAAATGCAACGGCTTTCTGCCAGCTTTCAGAGTTCTAACACACAGATTAAATCTGCCACAGGTCACCTGTTTTTTAAAATGAGCTGTGATGATCAGTTCCCTTTCAGCATCTCTTAGAAATCATCACATATTGCTCGCCATGAACCAAATATGGTTATTAATGATCAGGTAAATCATATAATGAAGCAGGAGTTAGCACAGGTTGTAGTCAGTAAGTGCACGTCCCTAACGCTACAGCTTCAGCAATCTCATCAAGGTCAAGGCAGCTACTTGAGTGGTTAAAACAAAGCCTTTGTGTCTCAGCAGAATTGGGGCCTCACACATAGAGCTCCTGATCTGCAGACAGATATGCCTTGGGCCTCATCCAGTACCCAGCCTAGTGCAGTCTTTTCACTGATACAGGCATGCTTTGGATCAGCCTCTAGGATCACAATACATTCATTTTTTTCAATTTCATTTTTTTGGGTTTGTTTATTACCTCTCTGTTGCTCTTCTGTTCCATTAAGTTGCTTTTGTGCTTCTTCAATTTTGTCTGCAAGAAAGAGAAGTCATTATTAAAATACATATATAAAACGCACAAGATTTTAGTAAGTCATTTACTGCAATCCATCTTGAAATATCTGCTTATATTTAGAAGTGATACCATTCATGTGTAAATATGTGGTACATTATGAGTAATACAGCCATATAAAATTTTATCATGTTTTACCAGGGAGGCTATTGACATGTTAAATTACATGGAACTGCCGAAAGAGAAGCACTGGCATCGGATCTACAGTCAACAGCTAATCCCACTGTGGCTTTGTACCATCTATAATAATGTATGCAGTCAGAGGACTCTCTGGAATAGGTATTATGGTGCATTACAGAGTATTTTAATACATTTCTGAAAAATGCTGTTAGAACAAGACAATGTGGCATTAAACACATTGATAGAAACAGCAAACAGGATTTGCTAAGTGAAGCAATGAAGCCAATACTGTCACGCAGGGGTAGGAGGGGGCAAGCAGCAGCTCCAACCTTACTCCTCTGTGAAATTACAGGAAATTTCCATATACACAGTGGGAGCAACGAGGGGCCTTGAGTCTTTACTCTCTCCCTGTCTTCACAGTTCACTTGCTGCCCCCCAGACACACTGGTGTTGGAATGAGAATTGTGCTTCTCCCGCTGTTGCACAGAAGGCACAGAAGATTCTGTGGGAAGGGGAGACCTCGTTCTGCACGTGCATGTGCTTGCATGTGCAGAACAAGAAGCAAGGGGCAACTGCAATAAAGAAAAATTTGACACCTATTTCTTTTTGGTAGCAAACAGTCCCCTGAGTGGCTTCAGGATTAGAAGTCATGTTGATAAGAAGCAGGCGGCAGTGGGAGAGGCTGAGCTCTACATCAAACTATGGCCTGACCAGTCTAGATCTGAGCTTGAAAGATGGCTTTCAGATACAACTGATCATTTTCCAAAATACCTGGGAAAACCTTTTTTTCTTCTATTATCTTTTTTCTTTTCCCTTGGTGGGGGCAGTTTTTATTAACAGAATGTATCTGGATTCATCCTAAACCTCTCAAACTCTACTGGTGCAACTCAAGAAACACCAGACTTTTTGGCTGCCATGCACAGAAGGAGGACGATAGCTCTGCAAAGTCCTCAACCTCTTTCTTCACGAACGTTGAGGCCTTACTCAGTCTGACTTTTACTCACCCTTCCTATACAACACAAGGTTTCTAGAAAATGGTCCTTTCTTCAACACACTGCTAAATCGATGGGTTTAAATGACTTCTCTATTATTTATCAGCTGAACCACTCAAGCACGTTGGAACCATTTGTTCACAGCTGAAGTTTGAATTTGTTTCCCAATTATTTTCTCAGTAGAACCAAATAATTATAACTGATTCAAACCCTTCTTGCAGGTGTTGAGTTTTGTTGAGCAGTTCTGCATTTCTGTTTTTCAGAACAAGTACCAGGTTTCATTCCTCACTAAAGCTCAATAATTTCTCTGCTGTACATTGTCCCAGAGAATGAACCAAAACATCTCACAAGGAGGTTAATGTGGTAGACTCCCAGAGGTTCTAATGAGAAAGACTACCACCGTAATTTTAAAAGCCAAACTTCTTCCTGCTTCTCAGGCTAGTGAGACATACATACATATTTAAAGGGAAGTTTTATCACAATTTCTTTTGTACTGACTTACTGGCTGCTGAAGACAAAAACAAACAACTCCAAAAGAGAACAACCCTTCACCAGCTCTTTCCCAAGCCAGTTATGCAGGCTTACTTATGCAGGCTTACTTTAAACACTGAAGACATGATATTTAACACCTTCCTGTATTTTAGTTACTGCTGAAATATTAGATGCATCAATGCATTTTTGTATAGAAAGGGCCAAATAAGTAATAAATAACCATTTCTAACAAAATAAGAGGAAAAGTAAACAATGCATCTTTTATACACGTGCCACTAAAGCTATCAGAGAAAAATGTATCTAACAATGCTATCCTGTTTTCCCACAGATTATTCCTTTACAGAAGGGTGATGGAAGAAACAACTCACAAAGTTGCACAACAGTTGATGAAATACATGAATACACAGAAAAAGAAAAATCAACAAACTAACCTGTAAATGAAGCATTAAAATTTACCAAAAAGCAACAAGAAATCAAAACCATAGTTTGGCTGTCATACTCACTTCCCCTCTGTTTAGAGATACATCTAACATGCAATATACAGTGTTTCTGCCTTCAGACGATGTAAAAGATTAGTCATCAAAACTTAAGTACACAGGCAACTGGAGTTTCATTATTAAAATAATTATCTGCATATTTCACATAAATGCTACAAGAAATATATGCATTTAAACTCACAATCATCCTATTTTATAGAGAAAAATTTTGGAACCACACTACATTAGACTGACAGAAAGATTAAATGCTTTGATCTCCTTAGCTGAATTCTCTTTCTCTTAGTGGAAAAAAATCAGTTCCTATCAGTAATTCCCAGCCACTTCTTTGTCAGACTGTAATCCCAAACAAAGAACCACAGATAGCAGAAATAATAGCTAGGTAAACATGTGCTTGGTACACAGCCAGAAAGTCTCCTACACTTCCTGCATCTCCTGATACATTTTCCCCAATGAATTATATTTGCTGCATTTATGTCTCCATACCTACGAAGGTATCCCTGTGCAGAACAGTTTTGAGCACTGTGAACACTGAAAAAACTCAAATGGTGCTGGAAGCCGAGAGCAATGACTTGGATTGTAAATGAGGCATGGGTATTAACATCAGTCTAAGGCTAAATGTTTTACTGAAGGTCTACATCCTCATAATGGCCAATATCACACAGATACTTGCTCTGGTTATTACATCAAGGCATGTTTAAACCATTGTACAAAATCCACGGTAGCTGCTTCCCAGCCTGCTGCATTTCACAACTATGGATCCTATATAGGCAAGTGCCTTACAAACCGCTGTGTTTCAGCCTGGAGGGAAGAACTGGGTTATCTCTAGGGGCCATGGAGCAGGTGGTGAGAGCAGGCTTGGAGCCAAGTACCCCATCAACACCAAAAGGCAGCCTCCCCAGGTCTTCTGCCAGCTCGCAGGTATGCCAGCAATTACTTGGTAACTACATCAAATTTATATCATCCAGTCATCTCCTTCTCTTGTGTCTCATTAAATTAGCTGTACGTCAAACATCTTAACGAAGATTATTTCAGACAACATACCATATTCTTTCATAATTATATTATAGGTGGTCTAACGGTACATACCTTTGAAAACTCTTTATAAGCAAAAAATACATCACACAAAAATCATCTGCAAAGCCCCAGAGGAACCGAAAACTGACAGGTCCTCTATTATTTGGAACTAACATTCAATCAAATACTTGCTTGGTTTTGTATTATTTCAGAATTAAACCTGTGATACTGTCTAACCTGAAAATTTTACAAAGGTAGCATTTATTTATCACCAAAACATTATTTACTTCTATTAGGATAAGAGAAAGCAATTTAACTAATGGAAATTTATAATATATGGTAGGTATGGCACCCTCTTTATTTCCTATAAATGCCAGAATAGTACATATCTTGACGACTTTACTCTAAGAGCTGTCCTAACGTCCCCCACCTTCAGCAGACAGCCTTCTGGAGTAGTACACATCTAGAAGAAAATGACAGTGACAGATACACTCTCATTTAAGATGGGAGGGACACTTCTCACCAAGTGCTTAGTAGAGGGGAAAAATGAAGCCACAACGAAAGAGAAAATCATCATATGCATCACTGTATAGAAAGGAGATTCCACATGACAGCAGTGTAACAAGCCAGCTCTTGTGGTTATCCCAGGCAGGTGCATGCCACAAAAATGCAAATCACATGTAACATCATGTTTTATTTATATCTATGTAGTACATACACACACGTACCTGCATGCACATAAAAGAAAATGAACAACATGTGTGCAACGGTTTTTCTTACTCCAGCATTAAACCTTTTCATGTTGTTCTCTAACACAGCTCTCCCAGCAGGTATCTGCTGTGTGGAAACATCATCAAATTCCTTGAGGTTTTAAATATATAATGCAACTGTGCTTTTTAGGAATGCAAGGAAGGAGACTGGCACACAGTAAAATATGTGTCTTGTTTTACACACCTCCCACTGTGATAGATTGTTAAATGGATACCAGCAGCCTGAGTTAGATATGATGGTACTGTGGTGGGTTTTTAAATGAAAAAATAAACCAGACTTTTCAACAGCTTTACATTCTCTGTTTTTGATCTTCACTGAAAGATATAACCTCACAGATTTTAATTAATTCACAAATCAAATACAGTTATAGAGGTGGGTTTTTTTTTTAAAATATATCAATGTATACCAACTTGAACATGTCTACATGTATTAGAAATACATAAGAATTTTTAGAAAGATTTTAAAGGCCTTATTTTTTTGGTGAGTTCAGGAAGGAAAATAAAGGTTAGGAATTTCAGCAAGGAAAGCAGAAATACTGAAAAGTGTGAGGTTTGCAAAATATGAAACCAGTAACTTCTGACAGCAATTTAAGCTGGAGTAAAATAAACTGTCCAGTTTTGGGTTTGTTTGCGGGTTTTTCATCTCTTTTTTTTTTTTTTTGCTCACAAGAGTCCCCATGTCAGCATAATGAGATGACTTGGTCCTGTTGAACAAGTCGCCCCATACAATGACAACACACAGAGGAATGAAGAAGTAGTCACTGAGGAAGACCTACTTATAAGCCACCAGGAAAGCTTACAAGGGAGTGGTGGGTGAGAAAAGTTCATTAAGCTTTTGCAAACCGACCAAACATGAGTATTTTTCATTGCGCATATTTGCATGTGTCTGCATCACTGTAAAAAGGGGATTTTTTTTGACTTCTCGTTGAAGACGTACAACTACTGCTCTAGAACAATAAAGAGGGCTCTGGTTTTGGTTTGTTTGTTTGTTTGTTTTTTGTAAATCACACATATTCAGTTTATGTATAAGTGGAAAATTAGCAGATTTAAACCATACTGGATACTGAGAACAGGCT